CAGCATAATACAGGAATGCGGCCACTCAATGTTTATAGCAGCACAATTCACAATAGCTAAACTGTGGAAACCACCTAGATGCCCTTCAACAGATGAATGGATAAAAAAAATGTGGCATATATACACAATGGAATGTTACTCAGCAATAAAAGAGAATAAAATCATGACATTGCAGGTAAATGGATAGAGTTAGAGAAGGTCATGCTGAGTGAAGTTAGCCAATCCCCAAAAGCAAATGTTGAATGTTTTCTCTGATATAAAAAGGCTGATTAATAGGTCGGGAAGGAGAGCGTGAGAGGAATAGACAGACTCTAGATAGGGCAGTGGGGTGGGAAGGGAAGGGAGGGGAGGGGGCATGGAGTTAGAAATGACGGTGGAACGTTATAGACATTATTATCCAAAGTACACGTATGAAGACACGAATGGTGTGAATATACTTTTTATATAACTAGAGATATGAAAAATTGTGCTCTGTATGTGTAATAAGAATTGTAATGCATTTCGCTGTCATATATAAATAATTTTTTAAAAAATTTATTCTAATTAGTTACACATGACAGTAGAATGCATTTTGACAGGGGCTGGGGCTGGGGCTCAGTGGTAGAGCGCTTACCTAGCATGCATGAGGCACTGGTTTCCATCAGCACCACAAAAAATGAAATATTGTGTCCATCTAAAAACTAAAAAGTAAATTTTTTTTAAAAAAAAGAATGAATTTTGACACATCATACATAAACGGAGTATAGCTTCTTGTTTTCTGGTTGTACATGGTGCAGAGTTTCACCGTTCATGTAGTCATATGTGCACATAGGTTATAATGTCTGATTCATTTTGCTGTTCTTCCTGCCTCCATCCCCGTCTTCCTAGCCACCCCACCCCCACTTGCTATGAATTAGCACTCACATATCAGAGAAAGTATTCCGCTTGGTTTCTCGAGATTGGCTTGTTTTGCTTAGCATCATATTCTCCAGCTCTGTCCCCAGTTATCAGCAATGCCATAATTTCATTCTTTTTTAAAGCTGATTAATATTTCATTGTGTATGTATATATACACACACACAGTGAAACATAAATGTATATATTTTTACATATGTATATAAATATATATATATACTCATATACATGTGTTTGTGTGTGTGTATATCACATTTTCTTTGTCCTTTCATCTGTTGAAGGGCACCAAGGTTGGTTCCATAGTTTAGCTATTGTGAATTGAGTTGCTATCACCATTGATGTGGCTGTATCATTATAGAACTTAGTCCTTTGGGTATAAACTGAGGAGTGGGATAACTGTGTAAAATGGTGGTATCACTCCAGATTTTCTGAAGAATCTCCATGCTGTTTTCCAGAGTGGTGACAACAATTAGTCATTTGATGTTGATTGCATCAAGAACAAAACTCCCTGCTGGGCATAGTGGTCATGCCTGTAACCCCAGTAACTCTAGAGGCTGGGACACGAGAATTGCCTCATCAGACTTAAGGACAAAATTATTTTAACATGAACAAGAACAATATTAGAAAATTATAATCCTTATAATATGCCCCCTTTTATTTTAGTTTGAAGTATTGGAATTGAACTCAGGGGTGATCTACCACTAAACTATACCCCCAGCCCTCTATTTTTCACTTTGTCACTGAGGTTGCTCAGGCTGGCCTCAAATTTGCCTTCCTCCTGACTCAGCCTCCCAAATAGAGTCTCTGGGGTGACAGGCATGGCAAGTCGTCTTCACGTCTGGCTCAGCTCTACTTCACCACGTACACTGTGACCCCTGTGCAGAAATGCCCTCGGCTTGTTTCTCCAGATAAACGTCGAGGATCTTGAGGACGACCCGGTAGTGAACGGAGAGAAGTCTGATTGTGTGTTAACAGATGCTGCAGTGTCAGGGAACAAAGGAAGGATTCAGCGTGGAAACCCAGAGACCAAGCGGGAAGGAAATGTGGCCAAGACTGCACCTCCGGAGCAGGTATGGGGACCCCGTGGTAACAAGGAGGCTGGCATGTCAGGGAAGGGCTGTGGCATCCTGCCACGTGCCACCTGTGTCGGGTTTTTCTTGGAGGTATAATTTTCTGAATTTGCTTTGGCTGATTCCGTGGGAACCCTGATGAAGTTGTGCTAAAGTCCTTGAGATCAGTGGCGGCCCCAGGGGTACTGCGTGCAGGTCCCTGCCCTGCCTGCTGCCCACTGTGCTCCAGGCAGCTCTGTGCCTTCTGGGAGCAGCCACTTCTGGTGAAGCATCCCTGAGGAGCTTCTCGCTGCCCAGAGGAGCTGGCCCAGTCAGGGGCAGGTGGGCGCCCCAGGCAGCCTGGACCAGCTCTGCAGCAGGCCAGGGTGGGAGAGAGAGGCCACACTGACAGCAGGGGGTACGGGCAGGGTCCTGCTGCAGAAGGATGTGAGGGGCCGCAGGTGCTCCAAGTGGTGCTGGCTTGCTGCTTTGGTTCTCAGTTTTTAAGATTTTGCTTCTCTTTCCATTGATTAAAACATCTTATTTTTATTAGTCTAATGCAAGTGGAAAACTCCGGAAGAAGAAAAAGAAGCAGAAAAATAAGAAAAACAGTACAGGAGAAGCCTCGGTATGTGACCAGACTTGACTGGCCCCTGCCCAATCCCTCCGTGCCCCTTGGGCCGTGTCCCTCACGATGGTGCTGGGAGAAGACCATTTTATTTGATGTCTTCATTTTTTCCCGTCAGGAGTATAACTGTCTAAGAGGTCAAGGACAAAGAAGAGTCACCTACAGTTTTGCTTGTGATTTGCCCCTTTGTTCCTTGGTTGTCATGGCCTACT